TTACATAAAAATACTAAAGGTAATTAAAATACAATAATATAACAAATCCAATGGCGTAGTAGGTTTTAATTATTATATTAATTAATTGAGATATGTTGGCTACACCACTGGAAAAATAATTTTAAAATATATCATGACATAATATATATATAGTTTAATAGAAAAATATCTGGTTGCAACTTTATCGATTTTTTAAAAAAAGTTATATTAAAATAAGTAAATATAACAGATCAAGGGTTAAACACTTTGTTGCAAAAGTATTTTAGAAATGTCAAATATTAGAATAACTTATTTGATATTAAAGAAACCGCTTAACGATAAGAGATAAAATTTGTATGAAATTATTGTTAGTGACTAAGCAAACTTTTGAAAAATTTCTATATGATCGAGTGATAAGGATATGGCCAATATTTTAATTTTACAATACGAGTTACATACAGGATGGTTTCAGTTTAACCAGACAAATTTTATATATTAGATACGTGTTAAAAACATATTGGTATTAATAGGTACCTACACAAATAAAGTTTACTATATGTTAAAAAAATTAAAAGTTTTTGCCGCTAAGGCTAATCTGGACGGGGCCTACTTTGTTTACGTGGATTTCGAACCGCGGTCCTCGGCGATATCATTGTCAACAGCCTACCGACTTGGCGTGTGTCTATATCGAATCGACTCTTTCTCACGAGATATCTGATCTGATCCGACCTCAAACCGACGTGAATGAGTAGTATGTGTCAATAGATTTTACACTCTTGCCATGGAACAACAGCACTACAGAGTTTATCCCCAAAGAATTGGAGCACCCAAATTGAAGAACCCAAAGAATTGGAGCATTGCGGAAAGAAATGAAGATGCACTCCTGGCACCAGAAGAGTTAATATTGAAAACTCTTCTTCTTTCAAAAATCGATTTCGAAGAAAGAAGATTGAAAATTAAACAAGAGGTCTTTGTGGCATTGGCACCATACATTTTATTTATGCGTTTAGATTTATTTATCTTCTAGTCTGAGAGCTAGCAACGTTTTCGAGAAAGTATTTTAAGACGTCTGGCTCTTTGATATATCTTTTACTATGCTCTCTGGAACAGCATGCGGCCCGTCTGGCTACCGATACCCGTTGCGTTCACTACTGCGCATCGGAAGAAGATACTATATTTTTTTTAATTTAGTCCTATAAATTCTAGTTTTAAATATAAATCGAACATGTCTCCATAGCGCAGTGCGTAATGTTTTCGACTACGAACCGAGGATTCAGAGTTTGAATCCGGGTCAGGACAAAGACTTCTTTATTTTATTTTCGTTTACATTCTGATAGTAAAGTATTAAACAATTCTGGTGATTCAAAAAAAAATATTTAATACTTTACTATCAGAATATAAACGAAAATAAAATAAAAAAATTTTTGCCCTGACCCAGATTCGAACTCCGACTCCTCGCTTGATAGGCGAAACCTCCACGCGCTGAGCTATGGAGACTCGGTCGGTTTACATTCAATACTAGAATTTAAAGAATTAATAAAAATATAGGATCTTCTTTCAATGCGCAGTAGGGAACGCAACGTTTACCGGCAGCCAGACGAGCCACATCCTGACATCCTGTTCGAAACGATATATCAAAGAGCCAGACATAAGCTAGACGTCTTAAAATACTTGTTTTTCCGACGTTGCTAGCTCTAGTACTATTCAATGTTCATTCGCTTCGATTCCACGCTTAGCGTCACATCCTGTATTTTATTTATTTAGAATATTACGTCACAATGATATGAATAAAACAGAATTTTGTGTATCAATTTAATTAATTAACTCATTGAAGATAAAGGATTTCTACACAAAAATGTCTTCTTAATCTTTTCATTAGGTCAGGGTTGGATAAAGCAAAAAATATGTACAATTAAAGATGACGATAAGTACTAGATAATTTTTTGGTATATATCATATTACTTTTAGCTCACACAAAGCAATAATAAATATATTATGTAAATAAGTAAAAACAAAGTCGAGTTAGTTACACCGTTTATAAATATTAAAATTTAGGAAAAAATATACAAAAAATTAATTTTTAAATAAATTAGATTTGGAACACTGCCATCTTGAACAAACGAATTGTTAAGGGTGTTGATTACTGCGGGCAAAGTTTTAGTCTCGAGGGCCTGTGGCCCCAGGGGTAATAGTTGCTCGAGGTTACTAACACCTTATAATTCCCGTGATACATAGATAATTTTATTTCTTACTGAATTTAGTATATTTTGTCCCATTTAAAACGACACAAATATTGCGTTTATTAATCTTCCGATATATTTGTATTAATGCTGCTGGTAGGAACTTTGTTTGTTTCCATATTACTGTTGTATTAAAATGATCTGTTTATAAATTGACGGTTGTTGTCAATTGAGTTCAGTTTTTTGTCAAAAAAAACGCCTTTTGCCACACATTCGAGTACGTTTCCATTAAAATGGAGGAAACATATTAAAAAAAACTGAAGGAGCACGACAAGCGTTACTTCCATCTAAAAGTGGGAATCATTTACCAAAAAGAATATAAGAAATACCTTCAGTGGCTAGGATAGAAAAATATTGTAGCAGGGGATGTCAATGTATATATTCTCTTGTAAATTTATTACATGTGATACATACATAGATCAAGGAAATAAATTTAGATTGGAATGCCCGTCAAAATTTTGGGTCGCGACCGTTGTACGCGATCTGGCGCTGCTAATAGCAGTTGCTAAAGAACAGCCGCAAACAAAAACAGAAATAATTTTCTCTTGTCCATATCCCTTGTCAAAGTCAGAATCTTCAAAAATTATAAAATCTTTCAAAATCTAAACCGCTCTAATTGAGAAAATTCCGAAAAGTGTTTAAAGCGTCCATTTTCAAAGTAATTATTGCTATCTTGTGAGTTTAATTTAAGTTTTATTTACTTAAACCCGTGATAATAAAGTACGTAAAAAAGTGGCATTAAAAACTTAAAAGGATGTGCTGTAAACTGTGAAGTGCAAAAACCATCGTGGATCGTGGCATAACGTCGGTTTCCAATGTTTCATAGGTATTTCATACATGTCCTTATATAAAATAAAGTTTCTTGTATGCAACACACTGTATTTTATTTATAAAATTAAGAGAAAATAATAATAAATTTGAATAAATCATATTTGGCGATATAATTCCGGAAAAAGCCGAACCGCTCCAAAATTTTCAAAAGTTTTGGGTCGCGACCGTTGCAAGAATAGCGCCAAATAGTATTTAAATTGTCCTTATGGGCACTTTCCAACCTAACTTTGTTTCATTTATCTATGATGTGACATTAATGATGTAAATAAATTATTACAGTAGTTAGATGAGTGCCCCTTTTTATCTTATATTATTAGTCAAAATCTCTATTGTATTTCATGGTTGTTAGCTATAAAAGGCTATAAATGGCATCTTAATTCCCGTTAATAATGTTCCAAGGGAGTTATCACTTTATTTATGATTAGCGTAACCAAGATTATATAAGCTCATATTAATTCAGTAAGAAATAAAATATATTTCAACTTTTTTTCAAAATTCTGTTAGTAGAAATAGTGTACTTTCGATTAAATAGTACAAATATTCCGTCTGTTACAACCCTTGCCGGTCCGTTTTTATTCCCTCTCATCCTGTCGGATGCTGGCTTCCAATAGGGAGAAATTAAATGTCTCCTCGTATAATTAATGGCCAGCCGGTATAATTTAGAGCCGGTATAAATTTAAAGAGACTGGCAATATGGGGACACAGGTCGATATTTATGGTAGCCAGGGTTGGATACGTCAACAAAAGTTCTTCGACGAGAGGCGTCTAATGGATTAACATATACCGGATGTCCAGAAAATATCGCTTACTTAAAAATAAAGCATATATGGCATAAAATTATCTGTTCAAACACATACAGGTTGGCGCTTCTCGTACGATGCGGAGGCTCCAAGGAGAACGACAGTTTGTATTGAAATACAATTTTGTGGGCATATGAATGTTAATTTAGAGGTATTTTTTTAAATAAATAGAGTTCTACAGGGTATTCCAAGAAAAAGTCACACAAAGTTGTGTTGTTGTAATGGAGCACCCTATATATTAACTGATTTTCGGATTCTATAAAATAAATAAAGGTAAGTTTTTTTAGAAAAGCATATGCCTAAAATGTAAGGTTTTTGACATATTTTCACATTGCCTAAAAGTGAAGAATAAATTTTAAATTTTAATAAAAGCTACCTAAACTGGAATTTATCCGGTATAGACTAATATATAGTTGAAATAACCATTGTACTTTTAATCAAATTAAAAGTTAACGTGAAAGGTCATACAGAGTGAGACAAAGTTAATATTAAACATTGATTACTTTTAAAAGCAATTTACTCTTTCAATTCAAAAAACACCCAGTATTCAACCCTCAGACAATGATTTGCCTAGATATTTTCACTTTTATGATTTAGTGTCAGTAGATCCTTATTATTTGATTAAATCTAGTTGGCTGTGTGTGATGATAATGAAAATATCTGCGAAAATCTTTATCTAAGCGGTAGACAACAAACAACAGGTATTTTGAAGTGAGATGAATTCTTCCATTGGATAGCATACTGGATGATCTAGTTGAAAGAAAAGTGTAACTTGCATTTAAATGTTGACCTATTTTCAATATTAATTTTGTCTCACCCTGTATAACATTTCGGATCAAGTTTTAATTTTATTTAAAGTACAATGGTTGCGTTCTAAAAAACTGTAAAAAGCGTATGACAAAAAATAGTGTATGTAACACGTACCTAAATTATGTTTTTTAGGACTCATCTACTATTTCGGACTCGGCTAACGCCTCGTCCGCAAACAGTAATGATTCGTCCTAAAAAACATCATTTTAGGTACTAGTTACATAAATAGCTATTAATGCAGGCATATGGCTTCTCTAATCAGACTCACCTTTATTTTTTTCTTAGAATCCGAAAATCAATTAATATATAGGGTATTCCATTACAAAAAAAAACACAAAACTTTGATGCGTAACTTTTATTAGGGACACCCTGCAGAACTCTATATAATTTTAAGAAATGCTTTAAATTAACCTACTAGTTGGTCTCCTCTTCGTCCTATGAGAGGCGCCACCCTGTACATACAGTGTGATACACTGTTTGAATCTTGAATATATTTTTTATACGAAATATGCCAGAACTGTCAAAATTTGTCCGATTAAATTTAAACACGCTGTATAACTGTATACACTTAGGCGGTAGTAAACTTATGAAAATATGGATATTATTTAATAATTCTTTATATTATTATTTAAAATATAACATATCTTTTGAATCTAGCCTACTTATATTAACTAATTTAATGATATGTAACTTTTACTTTCGATAAGGTTTCGATATAATATATTGAGCCTAAAAATAAAGATATTTATAAAATTGCAACCAGAATATTTTTTAAACAATCGTCAAAATTTTGTTTGAGTGTTTTTTGGATTTCAAAATCTTGAAAAGCAGTAAAACTACATCGTTCATTACCTTTAGATGCTTTCTAACACTTATTAGTATTAATTTGTAGTCTATCTACAGGGCTTGAAGAAACTTATATAATAAGTACCACGAAATTTCATTAATTTTCGAATCAACTGGTATGTGTGTATTATTTGACAATCATTTCGTGTCGATATACATTATAAAATCTACTGATCAAGGTTCCAAATCAAAGCGACTCAAACTAGTTTTTTTTTTGGTTTTAGTTCACAATCTTTAGCACGTTATATACCGGGAGGATCTTCTAAACAGCAAAAAGCGAAAATTTTTCTAAAATCCACTGCTCTACGCATGCCCTTTTTTGTATTTCTCTTCTTTGCGCTATTAGAATGTTCCAATTGGTCTTTTCTAAAATTACAAAATATATCCTGAAAATATGTACAGACTGTTCAGTGATCGTTCAACGTTACGTCATCATCATTTGTCAAATATGCATTTTAGGGTGTGTCTGAGATAGGGTTGCCACCTGTCCCTTTTGACATTGATCAACAACCGCAAATAAAATTATAACCTCAAATTAAATGAATGACAATTACCAGATATGCAGAAATATACGAAATGCCGTAATGACCTCACCAATCTCTTTCATCTGGTTGTCAAGTAAAAGAGAGAGTTCGACAATATATGACGTGACATTGAACATTACGTAGTATATGATTACATATTTAATTATGTTATAGGTACTCACGTCTATTGTTCTCTACGCTACCACCCAACTGAACCAACTGAAAAGTAATGGTACTAGATACGTAGTTACTCCTAAGATATTGTGCTGATATGCGTACGTTTGACTAGCACCGCTAGTACAATTTTCTGCAGCTGGTTTCTGCTGAAGTTCTACTGTAAAATAAACACAAAAAAAACTATAACTCAAGGTAAAGATAATAATAAACACGAACATAAACAATGAAAGTAAATATAATACAAAATTAAATAAATATAAAATATGCTTTCTTGAACTGGGGGCACGGCAGTACCCCCTTTAGGTTTGGTTTGGGACATAAAATATTTGTTTCGATTTGTAAAATTTTCTATACAGGGTGGTCCGAATTGTATTCCGGAAACTTCGCCGGCATATTCTGCAGATAAAAATAAGTAAAAATGTTCGTATAAATGTATGTCCTAAAATGCTTAGTTTTGGAGATACAGGGTGTAGAAGTTTCATTTTTATTTCGATTTTTTTCAAATAATTTCTGAAGTAACATCAATATTTGGATGAAAATTGTGTCTGGGAGTTTTGTGACAGGAGAAATTTGATTTTGATGTCAAAATGACTCTTATTTGTAGGGGGCGCCAAACCAAACCATTACTCGTAGCGATCTTTATCAAGAGACGTTTTTTATGTAAAAAAGTCGTAAATGTATATTTTTTACTCAGTAGTTTTATACAGGTATGAACGAAAAGTTATTACTCTTCAAACCCGATAAAACATATGTAGGTGGCGCCCTCTACAAGTAGGAGTTATATTGATATGAAAATCAAATTTCCCATGTCAAAAAACGTCCAGACACAAATTTTCATCCAAATATTGACGTTAATTCATAAATTATTTGGAAAAAATCGAAATAAAAATGAAATTTCTACACCCTGTATCTCCGAAACTAAGCATTTTAGGGCATACATTTATATGAACTTTTTTTAATTTGCGGAATATGCTGCCGAAATTTCCGGAATACACTTCGGACCACCCTGTATACCGTAGTAAATTGTTCTCTCATCAATTTTTTATAAACATTTATAGTGACCGTATCAATATTAGACATTTTTTTATTTTTATTAAAATTATAATCACTTTGTAATTACCAAGTTACAAATAGAAATGTTATAATACCGTATGATCGAAAAAACCGGCGTCAGCGATGGCTATGAATTGAAGATCGCTGTCATTTTATATGTAAAATTATATGGGGAGTGTCACTGATATTCATTTCCAAGACAACTGGACGCCATTTTCTTTTCGATCATATGGTAGAATAAGGAATAATTAGATAGTACTAAAGACTACTTTACCTGTAAGCTGTTGCAGTTGTGGCAAATATTTCTTCCAAAAAGCGCACTGCTTTAACCGTGGTCCACGACCGGTTGCAGTACTATTGACATCTAGAGTTAGGTACTCTCTACCGTAGGCAGTGTGTAAAGGCCAAAATGTGGCCGTCCACACACCATTAGGCGCCAGAGAAGGATTACCTAAAATATAGCGAAAAATCTATTTGTAAAAGAAGAATATACAGGGTCCGGCAATAGTGCGTCGGGCATCTGTAGCTCCTAGAATAAACAACTTGGGAATTTTGATTAAGTGCAAACCTAAAGTATGCGCTAGGATGTATTTCAGGAAAATATTTTAACTCCTATAGGGTGGCTCAAAAAAGTGTGAGTGGATCGGGACGATTTTTTTTAAATGGAACACCCTGTATATTATTGCATTTTTTGCTTCCTTTCATATCACTTTACATAATCCTAAGACATGAGTAAATATATTTTGATAATTTCTGAGATATTAATAAATAAATCCAAATTATATATTTTTAAGTCTTTCTTAAAAAAATTATTAATAATACCAAGAACTGTCCTGAAATCAAAACTATATTAGATATTTACTTTAGATAGTCTGTACTTACTTTTCTATCAATATGGAAATCGTAAATCATACAGGATGTTTAAAATTCTACGCCAAACTTTCTAAAATATAAAATAATTTTTCTTCGTTTTTTTAAATAGAACACCCTGTATATTATTTTTTCAATAGATGGAGAATTAACAAATGAACATTTTTTATATTTAGAGTATGTCAAAATTTTTAACAGTTTCGCAGATATTTCCGGTTTTATATTTCATATGGCATTTTCTACAGTAAATTTTTATCAAAGCCACCCATTGATTTTTCTCTGGTATTTTACCATTGAAAGCGCCATATGAAATAATGCTGCGTGTATCCGCAAAACTATTAAAAATTTTGAAATAGTTTAAATAAAAAAAATGTTCATTTTTTAATTATCCATCTAATAAAAAAATGATATACAGGGTGTTCCATTTAAAAAAAACGAAGAAAAATTATTTTATATTTTAGAAAGTTTGGCGTAGAATATTGAACATCCTGAATGATTTACGATTACCATATTTTCTAGCAAAGTAAGAGCAGACCATCTAAAGTAAATATCTAATATAGATTTGATTTCAGAACAGTTCTTGTATTTTTAATAATTTTTTTAAGAAGGGCTGAAAAATATATATTTTTGATTTATTTTTTAGTATCTCTGGAACTATCGAAATACATTTACTCATATCTTAGGACCATGTAAAGTGATCTGAAAGGAAGCCAAAAATGCAATAATATACAGGGTGTTCCATTTAAAAAAAAATCACCCAGATTCACTCACACTTTTTTGAGCCACCCTATAGAAGATAAAATATTTTCCTGAAATACATCCTAGTGCATACTTTAGGTTTGCACTTAAACAAAATTCTAAAGTTTTTTATTCTAGGAGCTACAAATGCCCGACGCACTATTGCCGGACCCTGTATAGGATAGAAAATGGATTAGCTACAGACGCCGTTTTTTTTCATATGGTATATTAAAACGTCTCAACTTGTGTTTTAAATATTACCTTACCTGTTTTAGCAAAGTTAGCCCAATATCGCATAATTCTTTTGGACAAGTCCACTTCTTGTGCTGTATAGGACTTAGCTGGATTCAGTGGCTCTCCAAACACGTAGGCTATTTCTTCACCGTGCATAACGCCTGTCCATGATGGCCAAGGATTAGCAATCTGCAAAAATTAGGAAATTCTTAAACAGAAGCTCTTAAAAATACTAAATTTCATACTTGCAAGTCTGAATTTGCTGATCATTACTATACACTATGCATACTATTTTAATGATTATTTCCCTCGTCCTGAAATGGACCAATCAGCTAATCTAATTTTTCGAATAAATTTTGTTTAGATAAGTGATTAAATCCCAAGACTAGTTTAACCGCGATTATTTTTTCGGCTTCCTTTTGGATTTTCTTTTTGTCGTTTATCACTAATTCTGAGAGATTTTGCCAACAGTTCATTTAAAAACATTGATTTACAACTCATATGTATGACTTAATAACGATTTTAATCGGTAAAAACCTCTTATTCGATATTATTTTGAACAAATAAGTGGAACTAAGTCATTTAGGAAATAATCTAGCCGTATATCACTCAACCCATAAATTTAATTGATTAAACTACCCAAATAATTTTTTGCATGATGTTGTTTTTTAGAAAATAGTTTCACGCACAATAATTTTAGAATAAAAAATTTAGAAAAAAAGTTTTTATTAAATTATTGTGCATTCAACTACTTTCCAAGCAAAATCCCGCGCAAAATATATTTGAATAGTTTAATCGATTAAATTTATAGGTCTCGTGATATAATATATGAATATTTCACTCATGTACAAAAAGTTACCCGGCGAAAATTTCCCGCAGAATGTCTAAGTGACAATGACACTTTTGTCACTTAGACCATAGACTTAGACGTAAATTATTTTTAATAGGTATTCTAAAAATGTCTCGATTTGGAAACGATTCTTTAAGTGCAATTGAAGAAAAAGTTGCCGAAAATAAGCCGAAAAACACTATAATTAATCGCCAGTATGTATGGCAACAGTTTATGAACTTTATAAAAGATAGAAACTACATTTTGGATGCGAACATCTCAATCTCGGTACTGGCCGATATTTTGACCGATTGGGCATTTAATATGAAAAGGAAAAACGGTCAAGACTATAAAGATTTTTTTTGTTTAATATTATTACTTAATTTTTAAATAGATTTGTTTTAATATGTTCAAATAAATGTTTTTAAAAAATCTATGTATTTTCACTTGCATTTTCTTTTTTTCGAGAAATATTCTACCGAATTACACTGGTGCATCAAAATTAACCTGATAATTTTTCATTTAAGCATGTTGTCAATAAAAAACAGCATTCGTTTATATTCACATTTTGTAAGAGCCGTCCTCCTTCGGAGTCGAGCTCTTATGGCAAAATATGAATATAAACTCATGCAGTTTTTAGACATCATGCTTTCATGAAAAATTTTCGGTAATTTTGATGCACTTGGGTAATTACTTCCGATAAGTATTACACTTACCGTTCGATGTTTATAGTAGTACATGTAAACATTGTTTCCCGTCTCTGCGTATCGATGAGCAAACTCGTTCACATTACACGTGAATTGGTAGTCCCCTACCATTTTATCTAAGGCATCCCTATTGGCCACAGGATCATCTGGGTTCAGCCAATCCGTGTACTCGAAGACTATGGCCTGTCGAGCAGCAGGGCCAACGTAGGGGTTCAGTTCAGTGACGGCTCTTAAATACTCCTGTCTGGAAAAATATAATTCGGTTAGGGTTGCTGTATGACTTATTATACAGGGCCCGGCAACAGTGTGTCGGGCATATGTAGTTCCTAGAATAAAAAACTTTAGAATTTTGTTTAAGAGGGTGGCTCAAAAAAGTATGAGTGGATCGGGATTTTTTTTTAATGGGACACCCTGTAATTGTTATTTTATTTTTGACTTCCTTTTAGATCACTTTACATAATCCTAAGATATAAGTAAATATATTTAGATAGTTTCAGAAATATTAATAAATAAATAAAAAATATATATTTTTCGATCTTCCTTAAAAAAATATTATAAATACAAGAACTGTTCTGAAATCAAAACTAGTGATGGGAAAAACAGATTAATTTCAATAATCGAGTACTCGGGTTTCAAGCGATTGCAATAACCTAGCGATCGCTCGAGCGAAATGTCACTAGTATGTAAAAATACAGTTTTTCGTCCGTCGCTTGTTATAAGTACTCGTTAACGCCAAGCAGTAAGTTGCGTGCGCAGGGCACATATTCTTTCGGTAATAAATGGCAAGTAGCAAGCGACGAGCGATTCGCTTGATTGCTTGATTTAGTTTATTTCAAAGAAAAAAAATTGTCGATGTAGGAGGTAAAATTTTGTCCCTCAGATAACGGATAAATATATATACGGCGTCGTATAAATTTGCTACCTGCAATGTATGTAGAAAAATCGCTCGGCTTTTTATCGAGTATGTCACATTCAAATCGGATTTCAATTTATTTCATTCTCGGATCGCTTGCGTTCGTCACTCGTAACTCGTCACTTGCATCGCTCGTTCATAATCGAGCGATGTCGGTTATTTCAATAATCGAGTACTCGAGCGAATTTTCGCTCGAGTTATCCCATCACTAATCAAAACTATATTAGGTATTTACTCTATGATCTGTACTTACTATAAATATGCTTGCTATAAATATGGTAATCGTAAATCATACAGAATGTTCAAAATTCTACACCAAACTTTCTATGGTATAATTTTTTTGTCTTTTTTTTAAATGGAACACTCTGTATATCATTTTTTTATTACACGAAGAATTAAAAAATAGACATTTTTACACAAACCGACTTTTTTACAAAAAGTTAAACTTTTTCTAAAAAACTCTTAATTTATTAACAATATTTAACTAAATTTATGAGTATTAATCGAGTTGGCGAATCATCAACTCGAGGGAGGAGAGACATGGTCAAGTGTTCACAATAGGAATTGACGTCAAATCCGAGGAGGCAATAGAAAAAGAGAAATATATCCTCTATTATAGATTTGGAACAACACTGGTATCAGGTTTAAAGAGAGACCAAGTTACAGAGGTGGGAAAAATGGAAACAGATCCTCCAGCCTTCACCTCACGGGTACCTCAGTCTGAGGCAAGTTCCTCGACTGTAAAGAGCACGGAGGGGTCAACCCCAACCGTGGAAAGGTATGTACCTTCGTACGAGGTAGGTGTCCACTCCTCGGAGGATGAACAACTGTTATCAGAGAAGGATGGGAAATATCTATAACAGGAAGATCCCCATATATGATGAGTTATAGACTGTATAATGAGTTAAAACTCACTCAAGAGAGAGGGACACAGTAAATGTTTCGGGTCGCGGTGAATAACCCCCCTTCTGCTTATTCTACATTCTACTAATTAAATTTAATTAACCCCCTGTAAACTTCGAAACTAATTTACTAATTTTTATATTAGGGTTATATAAAGCTTCTAAAAGGACATAATTTAAAACCTAATTTACCTTTTTCCTTATATAAACGAAATAGACGACAAGGTGACCGAGTTTAAAATAGATTAGAACCGAAGAGCTCCACTCACGTACAAATTTATCTCTTTGCACTAATTAAAAATGAAATATATACTTATGTCCACTGCGGAGGTTAAGTACATCCCGGCCTGGATTACTTTATATGTCACATTAAATTATGTCTAATTTTGTAACATGTTTAAGCCTTGAACGTATTAACTTTATTAATCGTTGTTATAAAACCCATTTTCTATATAGGGTGAGTCTTAAATAAGTGCAAAATTTAGGGGTGGCATATTTCGATCTCAAGAACACACTGATGATTTTTTTTTAAATTTTGTATTTTTCGAAAAAAAATTTGGAAAATTATTTAATTTTCAGTTCAAATTCATAATACCTTGATAATAGATCAAATTTAGAGGAAAGAAAACACAGGAAATAATCAGTGGCTCTTACAAATGAAGTAATTTTTGAAGTAAAATAACTCGGCTATTGACTTCTCTGAAAAACTGCGAAGAGAAAATATATTCTTTATCGTTATTTTCAAGCTCTGATAATATTTGTACTTATTTAAAACTAACCCTCTATATCAGAAAAATATGTTAAGATTTCAATTCATTCATTTCAAGTAAATGTGGATCATAGTAAAGCAAATTATGAATTTTTTTTATTGCAAATATATTTTTAATTCGCTTATACTGGGTGTGTTAAATAAATGCATATACTTTTAGGCGTAGTATAAGCTGGACACTTCTATGAGGGTTTTCCCCTGAATCTCCTAAAACACTTCTATGAGTTTTTTTCGCGATTTTTTTTAAATTTGGATCTCCAAAAAATGAAGCTGTACACCTTAATTTCCGGACTAATATCAATTATGTAAAACTATGTTTTACGATATGTAAGAACTCATAGCTCGTTTTTTGATCTCTTTTCTTTATTCTATTCACATGTACGTTCTCTCGAGGAAATTTTAGACCAAACAACATATCTTACCTGCTAATGTATACGTTTTCTTCCTTCTTGAACAATTCCGTTAAATAATACATGATAAAGTAGTACCCTTCCTCGGTGTTGGAGCCCATCAGGATATTCGTTTTTTTGAAATTCTTATTGGCCATTGCACGACCAGGCGATTCATCCAAGAAAGCGCCATCTATGATTGGTACAAAAGGAAACTCGCATATACCTAGAAAGGAAACAAAAATAAATCAGTAAGATTCTAAATAAATTATATGAAAGTTTATCTATTTGTATATTTGCAGACAAAAGTGGTCAAGTAGAATTCTAGAAGAATTAAATTATTCTATAGCAGTTGAAGGTTTCTTTTTACCTCATGAAGTGGTTGTTGTCAGGTAGTAATTGTTAGTTTGAGGTTTGACTTCATATAATTCTATTTTAACAGAACTGATTATAATAAACGTATCTTAAAAAATAAGGTGTTCTTGAATAGTTGCATTTAGATATTATAGATAGATTTTTATTTTTTCTTTGTATTTTTAGGGGAAGAGATATACCTCCTAAAATATTTTTATAGCAGTTTTTGTCTGATAGACAAATTTGTTTTATTAGTAAAATACCGCTGACAAATTGGTCTCCGTTAGATCAACGCAGTGGTGTTTTTATAGAACTGTTATAAAACCGAACTGTTGTATATGGGCCAATTTTGGTTTTATAAGGATGATTTAATTGTTTTATAGCACACTATAAGAATTTCAATATATTATAAAATACCAGTTATTTATACTAAATACAATTTTGCCTCAAAATAAGTTAATAAAATGTACCTAATGTGCCCCATTCGTTGTTCACTAAATCTACAGGATCTTTCTTCTTCAAACAGTCGACCACGGCAGCCAAATTACTTTTGTCGTGAGGACATTTGACGGCTTCTGCTAATCTCAGTCCGCGTAAAATGCTTTCCTCCCTAGATATGACAGCCCAAGGTGCTGTTGCACTTCCAGATTCCATTATAGCCTGAAAAATAATACTCCTTTTAGTGATGAGCAAGGCTGGTTTGGCATTCCTAGTTTTGGGCAAGCATAGAAAAAATATATTTTAAGTTAATGTCTCCTTTTTGCTGCTAGTGTGTTTCAATATGGAACAACAGCACGAAAAAGCTTCCAAATGGTCACCCGTCCGTCCACTCGGATGGTCTAATGTCGCTTAACTTCGGTGATCTATCGAAAACCGATGTTTCGACGTAACTGGACCGTTACCCAAAAGTAACTTAAAAAGGTCCCTCGTCCGCCAAACGTACAGTCTCGCCACAAAAGTATCATTTTTACTCTTAATAAAACAATATGCGCAAGACTTGCAAGAGTTTTGCACAAGTCCAAGACCAATATCAAGATTGAATCCTGTAAGACCAAGACCAAGACCAAGACCACTTATTCGACTAGAAAAGCCTTAGTCTTGAATGTGCTCATCACTATGCCATTTAAAAAATAGTAAACTATACAATCTTATAAAGCATATAGAAAATTTTACAAATCGAAACACAAATATTTTATGTCCCATATAATAGAGAAAATTGATTTACATTTCACATTATACACCTATCGACGCTACGGCCAGGTTAATATGCACCATTCATCAATTCATTATTCAATGGAAACTATTATAATATGTATGTTGGTCGTATAGAGAAATATGGGATCGATATTCTGTTGTGTTATTTCCGAGAAGTTGACCACAATCATTTCAGATACAGAGCAGGGTAAATTGGATTTTGCAGATATTTTATGTAGGTTTAATAATGCCATTTACGTCCAGCAAAGAGAGTATATACCGTTAAAGTCCGTTAGTTAGTATACTAGTCATACCGTTAAAGCAATTTCAATTTAATAGACCTAGTATTTTGTACTATGAATAATAAATAGTACCGTTTTTTTATAATTTACTATTATCTACCAATTTCAAATAATAGATATTTGTTATAAATCCAGTAAATCTACTTTTACAATATATTCAGTCAGAGAGTCAGATATTAATCCAGAATTTCGAAATGAACACTGTGAAATATTAATTATAGACGAATGACAATGTACAATGTTTTAAAAAATGTCTATACCTATTAGACGGAGAGCTGGCTACATAAAAAACCTTATCACCCTTACATGGCTAATTTTTTGTGTGAAGTATCCTTTTGTGTAGCCATTATGAAATAGTCATGTCTGCCAGCGCGATCCCTGGGCTTAAAGCGCGGGCGGCCAATCGAAAGGGTGAAATTTGGACACTAAAAATATTATAAGGTCACTGTTCGGTTTTTATATGATTCAAAATAAAAAATATATAAATTGTAAAATTTGTAATTTTTTAATGGCCATAATGCGTTCTTTCAAAATCATCGAACAACTAAATCATTTCCATAGATCCAGTGACGTACCGTGACTTTGAATTTTGAGACCAAAAATGAAAAATAATTTGTCAAAAAAATCATATTACAGCTATATGTTTTATTTTTCATAAAAATGTTAACTAATAAGTTAGAATAATTATATTTCTTCCCTAACTAAGTGGTTTTATCTCCGAAACTAAAGTTCCAAAAAAAATCGTAATATATCTAGAAATTCATTTACCCGCTAGTAGTAATAAAAAGCATTTTTGGTAAACTCTGTCTCTAATAGTTTCTGAAAAATAAAATAAAATTTTTTTAAAAAGGTTCGATTAAATTTATATCTCCGAAACATAAAGTTCCAAAAAAATTCGTAATATATCTAGAAATTCATTTACCCACTAGTAGTTATAAAAAGCATTTTTGGTAAACTCTGTCTCTAATAGTTTCTGAAAAATAAAATTAATTTTTTTAAAAAGGTCCGATTAAATTTATATCTCCGAAACTAAAGTTCCAAAAAAATTCGTAATATATCTAGAAATTTATTTACCCACTAGTAGTTATAAAAAGCATTTTTGGTAAACTCTGTCTCTAATAGTTTCTGAAAAATAAAATTAATTTTTTTAAAAAGGTTCGATTAAATTTATATCTCCGAAACTAAAGTTCCAAGAAAAGTAATATATCTACAAATTCATTTACACACTAGTAGATATAAAAAGCATTTTTGGTAAACTCTGTCTCAAATAGTTTCTGAAAAATAAAATTAATTTTCTTAAAAAGATAAAATTTATCTAAAGCTAAGTACAACACAAATCTTAAATGACTTATACAAAAATAGTCTTTTACGATGTATTTGTTGTTATAATAGTCCACGTATTTAAGATTTGTGTTGTACTTAGCTTTAGTTAAATTTAGCGATAAAACCACTTAGTTAGGGAATAGTTATAATTATTCTAACTTATTAGTTAACATTTTTATGCAAAATAAAACAAGTGACAAATTATTGTTTCAGTTTTTGGTCTCAAAATTCAAAGTCACGGTACGTCACTGGATCTATGGAAATGATTTAGTTGTTCGATGATTTTGAAAGAACGCATTATGGCCATTAAAAAATTACTAATTTTACAATTTATATATTTTTTATTTTGAATCATATAAAAACCGAACAGTGAGGTACACGTGTTATAATTGCGAAAATAGCTTTTATTTATTATTAAGAAATGTGTAAAACTGTTGACAGACATTTTGCTCGTGGCTAAAATGCCTGCAGACAACCCAAAAGAGGCATGGAATTTGCCAAAAAAAATCATCGCATGTCGATTGGTGGATTGTCATGTTTATTTATTTAAAAAGCCGTATGCAAAAGAACAAACAAAAAAATCGTGGTTCAATCAGTGGTAGACAGTTATAAAAAACGCGATATTACTCCACAGGGTGAATCTTGAATAAGTGGAAATATTTTCAGAGCTGGTAGATCTCGATAAAATAAACATATTTGCTTTTTTCCGTTTTCCAAATAAGTCCAAAATAACCGAGTTATTCAAGTTTGAAAATTTAAAAAGAACTTGATTTATTTTTAAATAATTTTGTGAGACACCTGTTTTTTTTCTGTACTTGCATTCGTTATTTTAGTGTCGTAGCCATAGAGTAAAGCTGTAAGCATGATAGGTTAAGAAATAATTATACCGTTGGTAAATTTGCGGTGAACAGGCAGTTCCTTTGAATAAGAAGACTAAGGAAGGAGCATAATGCTATCCATGTATTCATGCATGGTGGGCGGAAAAAGCTCTCTAGGGTGGGGATCCTTGACAATTTTGTTTGACGATTCATTTGACACATTTGAATTTGATTTGAAATTTTGTGGATTTGTCAGTCTTTACGGAGCTTATTTTATGCTATTTATTATTTATTCTATTACTGATAGTTGTATAAAGGTAATAAATCTAGATGGAAATTGTGGCAGAACTTAAATTAACAGTGACACTATCGCAATTTATCAAAAAAGACTCTAAAATAGTTGGTTGTGTAGCGTGCGGTAGATCTCGGCAAAAATTGAGTGAAATAATGGAACAACTTTTCGCTAGTAAGTGACTATATAATATACATACGTGTAGTAAATCGATCATTTATGAAATTCACTTAAATTAACTAAATTATATATTTTTCTTGCATTTTAGCTTTATTTATTACTTGTCAAAGATTAGATGTCAAAGAATTTAGATACGTTAATTTGACTTACCTGCTTCAGTAGCGTATCGAATGTTTGTGTTAATAAATACTTATTATAACTTATCTGTTTTTATTAGAATTATATATTTTTATAACAATTTTAATAACTACCAACATTTATTCACAACGTAAAATAAAACAACAAATTATTGAGTCTACCCCACGTCTACCCTACATCATAGTTTTACATTTTTAAAAAAAAATTAGAACGACACTGATAAACCGGAATTTAAGTCGGCCATATTTGAGGCCCTTCGCGGTGTATCTAAGATTTTTGATATGCTCCTTCCTTAGTCTTCTTATTCAAAGGGCAGTTCTAAAAAGTTTTCTAAAATATACAGGAAAATTTTAAAATAACACACGATTTTCTACATCTTTTTTGCGAAAAAAACTCATAGACGCGTTCCTGGGGTCGAAATATATCACCCTTAATAGTATTTTCACTCATTTCAGACTCACCCTGTATAAGCGTTTTCAGGAAACACTTGCCGCGTTATTAATTGAAATATATTTATAATATAATCGTATACGTGATTTATCTATACTTAAATGAATGAGGCGGCTGAAATGATGAGCGTTCCCTGAAAGCGCTAGAGTAATATATCGGGTTTTTCATAACTCTCTGCAGCTGATTTAGCCACGATATTTTTGTTTGCCCTTTTGCATACGGCTTTTAAAATAAATAAATATGACATTCCACCAATCGGCATGCATGTATGCCATATTTTTTTTTCATTCTTCAAATTTCATTTTTTAATAATGTTCGAGATAATTTTTAAAATTTCATGCCTCTTTCGCGTTGTCTGTCGGCATTTTAGCGACCAGAAAAATGTCTGCCAACAATTTTCCACGTTTCTTAATAATAAATAAAAGCTATTTTCGCAATTTTAACTCGTGTACCTTATAATATTTTAAGTGTCCAAATTTCACCCTTTCGATTGGCCGCCCCCGCTTTAAGCCCCGGTATCGCGCTGGCACAAAATGGCTACACAAAAGGAAACTTCACACAAAAACATGGGCGCCGGACAGGGGGGACAAGAGGGGGCATTTGCCCCCCCCCCTGGATCACTGAAACAATAAAACAATAAAAATAAAAGCTATCTTCTTACATCCATCTGGAAAAAAAAATAATCATTATTATGAAATTGTTAGGTGTTACCTGTAAAATAATAAAAATTGTGGTAATTGTTGGGAAAACTGGAAATCGTCCGATTTTCACCAAAATTGGTATACACACTATTTTGAGGTCGTAGATTACGAATCTATTTTTTTCTTGGCGGTCTCTTACCGTTTTACAGAAAAACGGAAAATTATTTCTACATTGAATTTTTCTTTATTTCGACCCTAAAAAGTAATAATTTGACTATATTTTCATTATATTATAGTTTATCTAAAAGCCACACTTGATTGGGGATAGAAAAGTGTCCACTGAAAAACACTTTTCTTAACAAAATAACAAAGAAAATTGAGACCAGATGGAAGTTTCACATTTGATATATCCTTCTTTCTCTCTCCTATGTAATAAGAGAGACAAATATATTCTAGACCTAATCTAGAAATTTGAAAATTTACAACGTTGTCATATCTTCTATTTTTTCGGGTGATTAGGGATTTTAAATAAATTACCTATTATGAGATCGACAATAATTAAATATACACCTATATCCACAAAATTACGCGGAAGAGTTTTGATTGCATTGGTTTTAACTTCTTTGCTGAGGGGTTAATCTTTTTTTTAGTTAATCTAATAATATAACAACAAAAGATTAACACCCTTTTGCATGGAAGTTGTAAACAATGCAATCAAACTCTTTCGTGTAACTTCGTGGGTATAAATAGTCAGATCTCGTTGGTAAAATAGCAGTTATGGGAAGGAGCCGTTCTTCTGGCGACCGCCTTTCGTAATTGCAGAATGAAAAAACACGCTAAATTTAGGTTTAGCATTGGCAACGTTGCTTTAAATGCCAGAAACACATAAACTTACTCTTAGGTTTCTCTTATTACCGATTCTGAACTGTCCTAGAACTGTGATGCGTATGCGCAGAAGGAAATATGAAGACATTATTTCATTTGCGCATGCGCTGCAGAGTTCTTGGACGGTTCAGAATCGGTAATAACAAGAACCCGAACAAAGCTATAACCTAACATTTTCAGATTGTTTACAAATTTATTTTAGCAAATTTTCCTCTATTATGCATAGAATTGGTTAAAAAAGTAACAGAAAATAGCAAAAACATTATTGATTATTGAATACCTAACAAAATATGTGTTAGAAAACCTTAAAAATATGAGAAATTAAGAAAAATTCGATATTGAAATTATTTTCCGTTTTTCTGAAAAACGGTAAGAGACCGCCAAGAAAAAAAGTTCAGATTCGTAATCTACGACTTCAAAATAGGGTGTATACCAATTTTGGTGAAAACCGGACGATTTCCAGTTTTCCCAATAATTACCAAAAATGTCAATTTTTTATTCATTTTTACCTTGCCCCCCCCCTAAATTTCATTCTTCCGGCGCCCATGCACAAAAAATTAGCCATGTAACGATGATAAGGTTTTTTATATAGCCAGCTCTTAGACTATATGTGGAGGATTCATCTCTCCAAAAAAATACTCGCCACTGCAAGAAAATCTACAAAACAAAATAGTTATTTTTTGTAAACGTTGCGTTAATCCATCGGAGATTACTTGTCAGCAGTTAGGTTTACTAATAAACAAATTTGCCTAACGAATAAAAAAATGCTTCGGTACTGTTAAAATGTCATTTTAAACATTTTTTTGTTCGTTAGGCAAATTTGTTTATCAGTAAACCTAACTGCGGACAAGTAGTCTCCGTCGGATTAACGCAGCAGTGTTTACAAAAAATAACTATTTTATTTCGTAGATTTTCTTGCAGTGGCGATATACCCATATAGGATATTTTTCTTATAATGTTTTATTTCATACTCTTTGGATACAACCTGTGTTTTTAAATAATTGAGCATTTTTTAATCCGCCTATGTATATTTTAGAGACTATTGTAAATTTTCTTCTAGTGGCAAAAACTTATAACTAATAATAGTCTAAGAGCTAGCAACGTCTTCGTGAAAGTATTTTAAGACGTCTGGCTCTTTGATATATCTTTTATTATGCTCTCTGGAACAGCGTGCAGGCCGTCTGGCTGCCGATACACGTTGCGTTCACTACTGCGCATCCAAAGAAGATTCTCTATTTTTTACTTAGTGTTTTAAATTCTAGTATTGAATAAAAGTCAAGTAAGTCTCCATTAGCTCAGCGCGTAGAGCTTTCGCCTATGAAGTGAAGGTCAGTGGTTCGATACCGGCTGGGGTGCAACTTTTTTATTTTTTTTTCGTGTATATTCTGATAGTAAAGTATTAAATATTTGCTTTTTTATCACCAGAACGGATAGCGTGTATGGGTTTATGATCCGTATTGTATATAAGTAGAATTTGATACTTTCATTTGTTTTGAAGGATTATTGTAGTAATTAATTATTAGATAGGTTTAGGATGGTCTGGCTGCCGCGCCGGTAGGTTGCGTTCACTACTGCGCATCACATGGGTACAGGGTGTCTCATTTTCGTGCGTTTTTTGGGATTTGGGATATCTGGTATTTCTCGTTTATGAGGGGAGATACAATGATGCGTTTTTTTTCACATTACTTTGCTAGTTTTTTATGTAACTAAATATTCTACCCCTAGATTTGCTCATTTTCTACACATTAACATTAATCAATCTTGTTTAAAAAGTATTATTATTTTATTTAATTTAATTTAACCAGATAATTTTGTTTTCCATCGTTATCTTAACAAACTGAACTGAAAATAAACTTGTGTAGCTTTTAGATAACAATCTGTTAAAGTATTATTAAAATGATTATTAAAATAATAAACAACAGCTGAAAAAAATATTTTGAAGAAAGACAGGCAGAAATTACCTTCATAAAGCATTAAAATGTTAATTTTTATATATTATGTTTAAATCTTCAAAATGAAATTATAAACAAGAAATCCCAAAAACGCACAAAAATGGGACACCCTGTACACTTGTGATGCGCAGTAGTGAACGCAACCTACCTGCGCGGCAGCCAGACCATCCTAAACCTATCTAATAATTAATTACTACAATAATCCTTCAAAACAAATGAAAGTATCAAATTCTACTTATATACACTACGGATCATAAACCCATACACGCTATCCGTTCTGGTGATAAAAAAGCAAATATTTAATACTTTACTATCAGAATATACACGAAAAAAAAATAAAAAAGTTGCACCCCAGCCGGTATCGAACCACTGACCTTCACTTCATAGGCGAAAGCTCTACGCGCTGAGCTAATGGAGACTTACTCGACTTTTATTCAATACTAGAATTTAAAACACTAAGTAAAAAATAGAGAATCTTCTTTGGATGCGCAGTAGTGAACGCAACGGGTATCGGCAGCCAGACGGGCCGCATGCTGTTCCAGAGAGCATAATAAAAGATATATCAAAGAGCCAGACGTCTTAAAATACTTGTTTTCTCGACGTTGCTAGCTCTCGTACTATAATAAACTAAACAGAAGTATATTCAAGAAATGAACCCACCACAAAGGTATACAACATTATTAATCAGTGGGGTATGAACCGTACAAATCTAAGCTACTTAGCAGGGAAAAAATAGACTGTTTAATGTCATTATTCTTTCTATTTTGGCCCATACAATAAAAAACGGCATCAAAGACGGCTGGCAATGACAATCGATGATAATTTATGTTTTTTCTTCTTTAGATTTAACGGTGTTTGCTGTCGGTTGGCCTTAAGGAGGTCGTAATTTATTTTTATATTGAGTAAAAATTACTTTAAATGGTGTAGTTTAAAATTCGAGCAAAATTAAAGTTTTTGAGAATAGATTTGTGTATCTGGAAACTTTCTATCCTTTTTTAATCCTTATCGTTAGTGTTAATTTCTGATAAGTTATATGTCAATTTTTAGTAAATGTCCACTAGAAATTGACCTTGTCAAAATTATGATCGATTGTCATTGCCCAGTCGTCTTTGACGCCGTTTGTTAGAATAAATTATTTTAAAATACTTATTTGAGTTCTTGGTGAATAGAAATCTTAGTAAAAATTAAAATTTTAGATTATGTTTTTAGAAAACGTCCCAGTAAAACCTAACAGTATGACATAAAGATTATTTTGTACATCAGCTACTAACCTGTGAAAACAAATTCCTAGATAGAGGACTCAGCAGATGCAACGACACGGAGACGGCTCCGGCACTTTCTCCAAACAGTGTTACGTTCTGGGGATTCCCCCCAAACGCTGCCACGTTGTCTCTGATCCATTGCAAGGCCATCAGCTGGTCGAACAGTCCTGCGTTGCCAGGGGCATCGGCCGTACCAAAATAGATAAAGCCTAGCGAGGCGACCCGGTACTGCATCGATATAAGAATGATGTTCTCTTCGGACACCTGAGAATGAAATATATAAATCATACCTACAATATATGCAAGAACATTTTTTTAATCAATAAAAATCTAATTTATTACCACGTTACGTTTTTTTCGATAATTTCTTTTTTGAATCATCTTAATAGCGTTATTTCTGTTGGAAATATTCGCTGTTGAGGAAGACAGTAACGATTTACAGCAACTAAAACCATATGTTTATTTTTGGTCCCTATCAACAAACCTGTGAAATAGAGTTTATTATTTTGGTAATGTCAGTCTCCTTAAAAGTTATATCTTTGTTTGTTGGGAAGTTACTTTAGCAGAGACGATTAATTCTAGAAATTAAACTCTACCATGTTCAATTAAAGCAACTATAGCCGATACAACTTCTGGAATAACTCTACTAAAACTCAATCTCTTCTAGAATAATTGCAGACAAACAATAATAATATGACATTCAATAACAGTGACGTTACGAAAACAATAAACACTATATCATAGGTGTGTTGATTAGGCCGATAATCAAAGGCATACTAAAATTGTTGTTAATCGTTACTGTTTTCTTTAAAAGCCAAAATCTTCAATAATAATAAAGCTATTGAGATGACTCAAAGAACAAACTATCGAGAGAAGATGCACCTTGATGATAAAGATGTTTTTAAATTCTTTACTTTGATACACTACTACACAGGGTTTTCGCCTAAATAAAATTTTGTTTTTCCTCGTATAATACAAGAATGGGAAATATATTGTTTAATTTAAGAAGAGGTCAAATAATTTAGCTATATGCATTAATTAAAGAATCATCAAAAGCGGTCCAGTAGAACAAAATATAATGAACGTTAAAATAATTGAACATTTTAAACTGTTCGTTTTTCATGCCGGCCATTGTATATGTATGTAATTACCAAGATATTGTGGTCGTATACGTCCAACGTATTGGTTCCCGAATAGAACCCACCGCCAAAAACCCAAACCATAACTGCCGCATTGGTAGGCCTCGGTCTTGGAACCACTACGTTTATATACAGACAGTCTTCGCTCAGTGGGGTATTTGGATTCCACATTGTAGCTCCTGAAAAGTGTTTAAAATATATGTACTTTATATTTCTCTCTAACATATCTTGAAGGTGTATATTAAAACTAGTGTGTGGGACTATCCAATTATTTTTTATGCAAAAGAATTTTATAAAACAGTTCTTGTTATGAAATGTTATGAAAGTCAAGGACTTGAAACCATATGATTAAGAACTCAATAGCAGGTTCTTGATACAGAAAATATTCAAGGAAGCAGAAGAAATGAGTCGCAGACAACCCAAACCTTCGTAAAATTGACATTGGTAGTTCGAAAATAAACCTTTCCATTAACATCACTTAAATTGTATAAATACAAATTGCATTACATGCAGATAAAATGTGTATCGTAATCTAACAAATTATGAACAGAATTTCAAATGAATACATTTTTGGTTTTGGGGAATTTTTTATAAACATATATGTTTTGTTTGAAACAGAGATATTATAGACTCAATAGACATTTAAACCTGATAGGATTGACAGACAAAGTCATATAAATTTTCTGTCAATCAGATAAAGAAACCTCAGGATTGCCTCAGGACATATTTTATGTCAGTGCTAGACCTACGTATATGAAACATTCAGTCTCTTTAAAATTATTAGACTGGGGAATCTAATCTAGAGGTAAGATGAGAATCACAAAAGCACTTAGAAGAAAATTATAATGATACATACTTGAGTACGATTTTTTGTCAAATGTTGGCAAAAATTGTTTTTGTCAATTTTCTCAAAACGTTCTAAAGTTACTTCATTTAAAAAAAAATAAAAAAACTTACCTGGAAAATCACCGTAAAGTGTATCTATAATTTGAACACAAGAATTCGGATGCTTCGTAGTATTCAATATACCTTCCCATTTTTCAAACGGTCGAGGATGCCTAAACCTTAACGATCCTACTGGTTTTTGGGCATAAGGAATACCTAGCCATGCATCCACCTACAAAAATATATATTAAGTTAAAGACTGTAGAATTATCCGAAAACTAATTGAAAATACCAGTTCTAAAAAAAATTAAAAATTTGGAATTTTTTGAAAATCTTTCCGGAAACTTTGTACAAATTTCAGTTTATACGAACAAAGAAATGCTTTAAACTTTTTTCTAGTTTTTTTAGTCCTAAGCATGTTTGGGCATATTGAAACAAAAAATTATTGCATTGTTTCTAACTTAAGTAAATAATTCATTAAATTTCGAGTTAAATAACGTTTTTGTGACAAATTTAATATAAAAAAGTATTGATGTACATAGAAGAAAACAAATTGTCCCGATAGTCTTAAAATAAACTGGAATTGTTCGAATTATTAATCAAAAACTGTTAAAAATATTGCGCATTGAAGTTTGACTACGAACATCTTTTAAACGGTTAATCATAAAAAACAATTTTTGTAGGCCAGTGATTTTTTGTTAATGAGTTAAAAAATTCATAAGAAAAAAAGCATATTCCTTAAAATAATCAAACTTCAACCTTTAATAACTTTCAAACGGTGAGGTTTACAAAAAATTGGATGAGACCTTTTTTATAGTGAGATGAACCGCCTATTTAAAAATAGACATATTTATTTAAATTCAAAACATTCATTTTTAAGACACTCTGTATACATAAACAAAATTATTGATTTTTAAAATATTATTCACAAACTAGGGAGAGGGAAATCAGGCGACGAACAGAAGTGATAGTTGTTAGATAATAGCTTCTAGACTACCATTCGAGACGCATTGATATTATTTTGGTTCTTGAGTTTTGTGACAAAGAATGATATTCAAGGTAAAGTAAATGTTTTTTTCATTATTTAACTAATGTTAACTAAATCATATTATTTTGTTTTCTTGTTGTAATTCAGTTCTAAAGCATTTCATTATTTGTTTGATCTGACAAAGCAAATATATAACATGTGTATGCATTTAATGGAATCTATTTATGCTGTAAAAAATGTCAGTTTAAAAGTAATATGAAATGTCAGTTTAAAAGTAATTTAAATAGAATCTTTTACTGTTCCTTCGTCCCGATGTTTGTGGTTTGTGAGAATAAGAGCCTTGTTGAGTGTACTAACAATTTTCGACCTTGCATGGGCGAATATCTTAGCTCGCAAAAGGGCAAACAAAAACAATAAATAAAATTAAAATAATTCATAGAATAACATACAATTTATTAAATTATCAGATATTGGCACCAAACCTTCAACTCAAGGGACTTCGTACCTACGGGTACGTTCAAACTCTTCAGTTTTGAACGATATAAATGTGGCATGTTTTGAATGTATTAAACTATAAACCTAGGTATGAGAACAGTTTCTATATTATAATTTCTCTTTTATTAAAGTTCACGACAGCATAGTTAGATTCTCTGGAATAGTGATCATGGTTTTCTCTGCCGTGCTCTTTTACATGTGAATTCCAGGCAGAGTACGGCACTCCTTTCATTTCATTTAATAAAATAAGTAGGGCTATTTACAAATTTAGCGTTTTATTTACATAACCTATTCTCTTCAAATTTTTCAAAATATTGCTTTGTCGAGGCGCACACATCCGAGGTAATCACAATAAAAAAATATTTAACAAAACGTAGGTTATTTTCTTTCATTTAAATTTCTTGTTATACAGTTGGCCAAAATATTACCTCTTCAACTTTGTTGACGAATTTGGGTTGTTACACTACAATAGAGAATTCAATTTCCTACAAATATACGATGAGATATTTTTTCCAAATAGTGTACATACCGAGATATGAATTTTTCTTTCTAATAATAAGGAGAAAATAGAAAACTGAAAGGCGGAGGATCTTCCTATTAAAATTAAGAGCTCATTCTTGGAGAGAATTTTTTTGAGGTGTCTACCAACCTTTTTCAGAATATAAAGTGAAAAAAAAACAGTCGATTTTTTTGACCCACCCTAATCTTGATAATATGGCAACATAGGTAGTAGATTAAATTTACAAGAAAGGAAACCCAGAAAAGATCCAGTGGTTCTCAAAATTTAAGCAAAAAATCAATTTTTTTGGAACTTTCAAAGTAAAATATCTCGGTTATTTTGGACTTATTTGAAAAACGGCAAAGAGAAAATATGTTTCTTTTACCGAGGTCTACCAGCGCTGAAAATATTTGCACTTATTTAAAACTCTGTTTTTTTTGACTAAATTTTACTCTCTATTGAAAGATGCGTACAGTTTATCTTAGATAGGAACTATCAAAAACAGGAAATTGCCATCCTCTCCGATAGTCAAGCATCACTTAACGCGATCAACTCAGTAGCCATCAATTCGAAGTTGGTCAAAGAATACCTAGAGAAGCTCAACAAATTAGGCAAAGAAAATAAAGTCCTCCTACTCTGGGTGCCTGCTCACCAAGGGATAGAAGGCAATGAAAAAGCAAATGATCTAGCTAGGAAAGGAGCGAAGACTGCGCTAACTGGACCAGAACCGTTCTGTTTCCCAAACGGGAACCAACTGAAAGCGGAACTGAAGAATCTGGAAGACTCCATCCGTAAATTGGAATGATGTCCTCCAACGGTCTAAGACACTCGAAACGAGAAAAATCAGAGGTTTTGAGATACTGAGACTGTATGATGAGTTATAACTCGTTATAACTCAAGAAAGGGGAACACACAATAAGTCTATAAGATCGCGGTGATTAACTCCCCTCCTAAACATTCTACATTCTACTCTCTGTATATTTAAAATAACAAAAAATAGGAAAATACCTTCTTCCCTGTGGCTGCTGTAACAGTAGTGCCTCTCACTTTGCCCTTCGTCGTTCTAATGATTAAAGGATCCTCATCGCCTGTTAATCTATTTGCAAAATCTCTTTTATCGTCAGGTGCGTCTCTAGAACCAAATAAAGGCAATTAACGTAAAAACTCCCTACTGAAATTATGGAAATCTTATTACATATTTGATACTAATTAAACTTTTAGTCACGTAATCGAGGGCGCGATTTTTAAATTCATTGTTGCCAACTATGGACATATTTGGCGTCGTACTGACTAACTGAAACTTAAATTTCGCCTCGCTGGGGATTCAGGTGGTAGCCTTGCTGTAGGAAATGTCAAGTTGTCGCATTTATTTATTTATTTCCTGACATTGTTATTCGTTTTGACACTTTAGTTTTGTATTACGAGTTGTTGGTTTAAATAAATAGTGTTGTGATACTTTAAGCTTAAAAATGTTTACTAGCAGGCCTTACAGTCATGAACATTGTTCTTTTTAGAACCTTTTTTAGTGCGAAGTGTACAGGGTGGGTCAAATTCGACGCTTTTAAATGGAAACACCCTTTTCTATAGGAGATAGGCAAAAACTAATATCGGTGTCTGGAGCTCAGTTTTTGTCAAAAACATAATCGTGAAAACCGCATATCGATATCTGTTACCGTTTCGGAGTTACGGGGTGTTTTTCAAAAATATGCATTTTTAACAAATCGCTGTAACTTTTTTGCTATGGAAAATTTTTATGAAAACATTTCCAAATCACCTTTTTATGTAGAATTTAATGGTTTAAGTATATTTTTTTTAAATTAATAATTTAAGAATTATCAACAGAAAATTTGATTTTTTATATCGGACACTCTGTATATTTTTAATTTATTGAAAAGAATTTAAAATTACCTTTCCAAAAATATAACACACTTCATATTTTGCTCGATTCCTCTTCGAGATATAGAGTATATAAAAATTCGCTCGTTTTAAATAAGTAGGCTTTCAACGGCACCGGCTGTAATGCAAAAAAATTCTAGCTGTGAGCATCAATTAAAACAAAAATAATATTTGCTATGAGAGATGCAAAATTTTATAACAATTTAAAATATATTTAACTAACATCAACACATTTAAACTATATCTAATAACAATAAAAATAAATAGCAAACCAAGACATGAGATTTTGCTACAGGTGTTTGACATATCGACCGTCTTCTGTTATGGACAGACGGAGCAGTTTTTGAACCTTTCTCGCGGAATTCATTAATTCGGTGGGGGTGAAAGATACCCTCTCATAACTGCTAAGTATTTCTAATTCTTGTCTAGATTATACGGAAGAATAAGGAACCTTTATTTTTCCGCAAATATATCCATAGGATTAGATTCATGGGCACTAAGTCAGGCGGCCTCGACGGCCAACGGCTGGGATCTTGGTTAGCTATTCAATTATTCTTGAAATTGGCTGCAAACATTTGCTGATAACTTCAGCGTTCAGAGGCGGTTCGAATTCATTAATTCGGTGGGGGTCAAAGATACTCTCTCATAACTGCTAAGTATTTCTAATTCTTATCTAGATTATACGGAAGAATAAGGAACCTTTATTCTTCCGCAAATTTATCCATAGGATTAGATTCATGGGCACTAAGTCAGGCGGCCTCGACGGCCAACGGCTGGGATCTTGGTTAGCTATTCAATTATTATTGAAATTGGCTGCAAAAATTTGCTGATAACTTCAGCGTTCAGAGGCGGTGCGTCGTCTTGCTGGAAAAATATGTTTTCGAGTTCCATTAAGGGCATATCATCAATAATGCGAACTTTTAAAAATTCTGTATTTCGAAGGGGATTATAACAAAATATCAAGTGTGCTATATTTTTGGAAAGGTAATTTTAAATTCTTTTCACTTAATTAAAAATATAGAAGGTGTCCCAAATAAAAAATCAATTTTTCTGTTGATAACTCTCAAATCATTAATTTTAAAAAAATTATACTTAAACCATTAAATTCTACGTAAAAAGGTGCTTTGGAAATGTTTTCATAGAAATACAAAATTTTCCGTAGGAAAAAAGTTACAGCGATTTGTTAAAAATGCACATTTTTGAAAAACTCCGAAACGGTAACAGATATTGATGTGCATCATGTTTTTGACGAAAATTGAGCTCCAGACACCGATATTAGTTTTCGTCTCCTATAGAAAAGGGTGTTTCCATTTAAAAGCGTCGAATTTGACCCACCCTGTACAAGATTATAATAGCCGTAAAAAACTCATTGCAACTTTATTAGAATATTTTGAACGGGAAAGCGGTAGGAATGACCCGTTATGTCCCTTAAGTGCGGTTAGGAAGGTGAGTTTTGTTGATGTAAATAATAACTGTTATGTATTTATAATTAATTTATTTTTGTTTCCTAAAATATTTTGATTAAAAGAAAATATACAAAATTGGGCAACACTGTGCCGGTCAAGCTTAATGACGTGACTAAAAGTTTATTTGGTATGAACTGTATATGTCTTTGTTATATACCTTCGGAATTCTTCTGAATCCTTGTGAGGATCGAAGGGATCCCTCCGCTGCGGGGGCACTTGCTGAGCCACGAGGGGCTCAGCCCTGGGGCCATCGGGGACGGTTCTGTGTCTACCTCTGCGGGGAGATGGCGACGCGGGGGCCAAAATGGCGAGCAGAAGCCCCACGAGGGGCCAGCGGCTCCACCACATGATTCCTAATAGTTGGTTGTTGTGACCGGACTAGGCCGGGCCTGCAAAGAAAAATAAGATAATTTTGTAGCTTTATAATAATGTTACAACAGTAGGGTAAAGATTGGTACACATTATTCACAGAGGTTTGTATGCCGAAAAATATTATATAGAGTAATTAAAAAACATGTGTCATCTCTCGTGGGGAGATTGCTCGCGTAAAAATTCGAATTTATATCAACATAGGTCCGATTCTGTTTTGTTTCGTAGCTACTTTCGTAGGTTAAGATCTTAATTTTATTTATTTATTATAATTTTCTGCCAAGTGCTTTTAACGATTCGAAAGAAATTTTGAGTGTAAAAGTTACTGTAAGTCCGACATTTTTTAAGGCTAAAAAGTGTCGACCGATTCACCAGGGACATGCATATTAGTTACCACTAGAATATTTTTCTAAAAAAAATGCATGTGCGCCATTGACTTTTTTCTCTTGTTAGCAAAATCGTGTAGGTTATTTAATGCCGATTAAACATTGTATCTTGATTTTGTCGATTTCGATCTTCTTGATGAGATAAACGCAAATTTGTTGATCACAATTAACATAATTAAAATTAAAAAATAATTATCCAATAAATTATTTATTTAATCTAATTTATTATTAAATTGTATTAAATTTTATAATATGTACTGCTATTCAGTGCTCCCTACAACAAACTGAATAAAAACTAATGGTATTTAAGGTAATTACACAAGACCTATTTAATTATTAAAAGTTATTATATTATTATTATATTATTAATATTATTAAAAGTTTTAACATCCTGTAACCTGTAACTTTAAAACTATGCATTTCCGGAGGTATGTTTATAGGAACTTTTTTGTCATATTCTTTGATAAGGAATCAATGAGTATTTATTTAACACTTTGACCAGCTAATGACATTTAAAAAATTTAAAGGTTGCTATTAGACTTGGATCAAGGCAAATTAATAAAATTGCCTTTATCTCATCAAAGAGGCCGAAATCGACAAATATCAAGAGGCGACTTTTAATCAGCATTAAACTGCTTACACTATTTCTCTACAAAAGAAAAAAAATTCAGTGGCGTACATGCTTTTTTTAGAAAAAATATTCCAGTGACAACCCATATGCACGTCCCTGATGAATATGTCGACACTTTTTTAGCGTTAAAATATGTCGCATTTATAGTACCTTTTATCCTCAAAATGTCATTCGAAATGCTAAAGGACTTGGAAGAACATTATAATAAATCGAAAAAATATTAAGATTTAAACACCCTGTGGCTACGAAACAAAGCAGAATCGGACCTATGTTGCTATAAAAATTAAATCTTATTTTTATGTGAGGAATCTCCCCACGAGAGATGGCACTTGTTTTTTGAAACTCCCTGTATATTAATCTATCTTAACCCAAGTCTCAACTTGGAGAACTTGAAAAATGTGAAATTTACTCAAAAATAAAGTGGTTTAACTTTCTATAGCAAATAAAAAAGTTACTTAAAAAATTGTTCAGTTTTTATTGTATTTTAATATTAATTTATATTTATTAATCTATATGAAGGTATCATACCTTTTTACAAGCGTCAAAATCTTGTATATTCCGAACCAAAGCAAACCAAAAACTTTATAATCAAATTCAAATTCTAAAGTACAATCAAAAAATAATGTAGTTATCAAATAAGCTCAAAATAGTTACATACTAAATATAACATAAACACTTTAATAAGATAAATCAATATTTATATCCTAATTGACAGGATTTATTTAAACAAGTAAATCGTAAATTTGTTTATACTTTCTGTTATTAAATACGTGCGTATTACCAAATAAGGAACATATAATATTTATATTTTGATATAATTATAGATTTATGAATACACGTTAATATTTTTGTTATCATTATTAATTTGCATCATTTTAATGTGTATCAATGAATAAAAATGAAATTATATTATCATAGAAACGCATTTTGATTTTTAGGAAACGGAAATAATTCAATCATATTTTCAAATTTTGTATTTTTCTTTAAAACGTTATGGAAATTTGGAAAAGCATAAACGGGATTAGCTATTTTAAAATAAGCAGCATTTTTGTAAAGAATGCATTTTTCTTAATAATCAATAATTTCTTTGTTCCATTAAAACAATAAAAGTAACGCCGCGCGGTACTTTTATTGTTTTAATGAACATCCTGCGATCCATAGAAATATCGCGAACATTCGTTTAGTCATTAATAATATCTCTATCGTTTGAGAAGAACTAAACAATTTTAGTAATAAGTAGTGCGGCTCTTGCGCGTTTGCGGCGCAGCGCACCAATGTGGAGAGTACCTCTTAGATATGAGCCAAACTGCGATTCTCTAATCGTAATTGAAACTGTGATTGCGATTTTTGTAATCGCTGCGACTGTAACCTGCGATTGCGATTTTAATATTTAAATATTGTATTAGATATATAATTGTCTGTGTATGTACCTATAGCTTAACGGTTAAAAAAAGTTAATAAAAATCAGTTGTTTAGTTTTTAACATCTGCAACACATAGTATAGGTATAAAAACTTTATAATATGCTGCAACTGCTGCAAGTACACATACCAATACTTATCGTATCTTTCTACGGTTCTCAGTTATCTGATTCTTTATCCAATTCTTAAAAGGTCTTAAGATTTAAAGAACTATTTTTTAAGGTGGCTCACCCCCTATAACTTTTTTATTTTTTCATATAAATAAACGAGATTTGGCACGTTAGTATATGACATAAATCAGGATTGATAGATGTATTCAATCCTGTTTCACCGTAAATAACCATGCCATGGCACTGTAGATTGAAATTTAAAATACGATTTTTTAAGCATAAATAATATTAATAATGTTAACTTTTGACATTTATGCTTAAAAAACAAACTATGTTCTAACTTCGCCAAACTATGCCATTCTATTCAGCGATTTAGGGCCTTTGCGCCCTATGCCATTCTATTCAGAGTGTCATTTTCTATCGAAAAAAGTAAAAAAATGTCGATGGTGCCATTTAAAAATCAAAAGTTGTAACAATTTCCGGTGAAACAGGAAGTGATTGAATACGTCAATCAATCCTAATTTATGGCATATGCTAACATACCAAATCTCGTTTTTTTATCAGAAAAAATAATAAAGTTATATGGGCGAACCACTCTTGTGAAACACCCGGTATATTATGATCTTGGCCCTAGAAAAATAATACCTTCTGGATAAATAAATAAAATCAGAGAAAAAATTCAATCGCAGTTTACTATATAATGCTTCAATGGACAACAAAATTACATTCGCAACAAAATCGCAACTCCTAAAAATTCATAGAAGGTTATCACGGCCCTAGTTTACAAAATCACAATCGCAGCAAAATTCCAACTCGCAACAAATTAGCAACTATAGTAATATTGGTTCCCTAAATTGAAACTCGCAAATAGAAGAAATCGCAGTCTCCTATGAGAGCCAATCGCAAGTCGCAATTGCGATTTAAAAATCGCTGCGATTGAATCGCAGTTTGCGATTTTTTGCGCATCTCTAGTACTTTTACAATCCATATGAGTTACCTAAATTCTACCTAACCAAAAAAAAAAAAGAAATAAAGAAAAACGAAATAATATATCTGCGACTCTAGAAATATTTTTATTGGTCATTAGCGAGATACAATTTCGCTGCAACAATATTGACCTGGTTCGCAGCAGCGCATCAGCAGGAAACAAATAATACCGTTGCAACCAGATAAGGGCCTAAGTGGTCCAGTTACGCGTCCATTGTGCGGATTAGATTTTGGTAAATTGCCGCTACGCCCGAGGTTAATTTAGGGCCTAATGCGCAACGGGACATTATTCCACCGGTTCGCTCTCATTTGCCTCGCCTAATGGAAAGTGATTGTATCGGTTTGCTTATTATACCCCTTTTTATGGGCCTGTTTCCAACGGAAATTAGGATATTTTGTAAAAAATATCCCATAAAAATTGTAAAATGTAAAAAAATCAATCCTCGCAACGCAGTTCTTCCACGACAAGAATTTGTGAGATCTCAGACGGAGTCAGTTAATTTAATTAGTGTTTATGGAAGAATTTCTTCAACAATTTTGTTATAAATTGTTATCTAATTAATTACATCTGTAGAGGTAAGTAAAGGTTAGTAACATCATGTAGCTATCTATTTCAAAAATTAAATTGTTTAAATATCATATCATAATGGCGGTAGCTGTCATGGAACTGAGCGATTACAAAATTATCATAAATCATTTTATCCCAGTGCAGTAATGACATTCACCATGGTGAAATTGCAAAAATTTTTAGAAAGCTGCGACCATTGAAAATAGTTAGCCTTAGTAACCCTTATTAACATACTAAAAGTCCCCATTTGTCCGATGTGTGCGTCATCAAAAAAAATCGACCGCCATCTTGAATTTTGGTACTTTTTGGGAAAAAATGTAAATAACTCGAAAACGGTTTGTTATAACGAAAAACTTCAAGAGGTAAAAATTAAAGAGAATAAAAAACTCTATTAGAATCAATAAAAAATAATTTATTATCTTAATGCAATGACGTACAAAAAAAATTGAAAATCGAGCAATTTTTAAAAGGAATCACCGAAATGCAAATTACTAATTTTTTAAGCTTATTAACAAATAACATGGATATTTAGCATCAATTCAACTGAAATACAAACCTTGTGACATTTTCAAGAAACCTTTTATTGGTGGGTTAATAATATTTCAAAATTAACAAAAATTGTAAAAGCTATATATCCTTTACTAAATACATGTGTACTAATAATGTGCGAAAGCAGTCTCCACCTTGTCCCGGTCGGGGCTATTTGCACTTAAACCAAGGTCTTATTGTTACCATTTTGTAAACAACTTGTTTTTAAAAATACAGTGACAGTTTGAAAAATTAGGCTACAGGTTGGAAGAAAAAAATAAAATGTAATGTAAACTGGCGACTTTCAAAACGTTGCAAAAAGATCCTCATCTGCGATAAATTACATCCGCTTTTTTTAGATCCTGCAGCACAAAAATCTGAGCTAGTCGA